CGGGGCCAGGGACCGGCGCGCAGTTTCGGGAACGCGGGGCCCTCGGGTCAGGCAGCCCATGAGGAAGGGTTGGGGGCATCTCCCGCACCAGGAAGCTGCTGTGGGGCCCTGGCGTCTGGGCGCTGCCCGAGCGCCCTCAGCACACCTGGGGGGTTGCGCGCCCGAGGCCCGCCCGTCTCAGGAAGCATCACAACCCAGTTTCAAATTAACTTTATTAACGAGGCTCTGTCTGCACTTTAGCACCTAATAAAGCCCTAGGAGGCACTTAGTGAAGGCAGCTGTTGTCTTGATTTTGGAAAGGAGCGTTTTTTGTGGCGGGGGAGGAAGGGCAGAGCAGTTCTCCCTGCCGGCTTCTCATGTGCCTTCCTGTCCACAGGGATACCTACCCACCACCCCAGGGTCTACAACATCCACAGTCGAAATGTCACCCGGTACCCTGCCAATTCCATCGTTGTCGTTGGCGGCTGCCCAGTCTGCAGGTATGTCACAGGTCTGGGGCTGGCCCCCCCAAGCCTCGGAACACACATAGCCAGAGCCTCATAAAGGCAGGCTCGTTGAGGTGGGTCGGTCTGGATTTGGGACAAGCTGTGATGGGCAAGCATGGGCTCAGTTATCCTGGGTGGAACCTGTTTTCATAGGGCAACTGGGGTGGGCTCTGTTTCTTGGAGAGTTGAGCCCTAAGTGAATGGGATGCAGAAATATTAGTTGGACTGACAGTCTCACATCCCTGGTTCTCCTGAAGGTGGTGGAAGACTTCCTTTTCAGGGAAGGGGCTGTTTGAAGTGTGTGGGCAGGGGAGCCCTGACTCGGATGGTCCATGTGTTGTGGAAGCTGGAGGTCCTAGAAGCCAGGAGAGCTGCAGCTGTGAGCCGGGTAGTGGAAACCCATGGTTCTCCCAGCAGGAGCAATTCTCCGTATCCTTGAACTGGGGCCTCCACAAGTCTTCTAATGACTGTTTGTTTATATGTGGCCCCAGATGCTTTTTTGTGTGGGTCCTCGGGATTCAAATTCAGATCAAGACTGGGTCCCTGCCCTTGGTGGATTCAAGTGCTTGGACAGTTTAGAAAACATGGACTTGGCACGGACCATTTTTCCTGACTGGGAGGAGGAAGTTCAAATTTCTGAGATGGGATTGAGAAACCCTGGTTTACACTTACACTTAATTTCAAAAGTGCATCTAGAAGGCCCAGAGTGGAGTCAAAGGGAAGTTAACGAGTTCAGAGTCACAGGGGGCAGCTAGGGCTCTGGAAGAGGGAGGCATGACAGAAATGGGGGCAAAAGACTGGCCGACCAGAGCCAACCATGTGCCTAAAGAGGAGGCTGTGGGCAGGGGAGAGCCCCTGGAGCTTGCGCCAGGATACCCCATTTGCAAACCCCGAAAGGGTGTCTCTTCTGACACAGCTGGTGAAAGGTAGGCCTTTGGAGAATGTGAAGGGGGAAGGAGAGGAGGGCAGACAAGGGCCTCCTCCTGAGGGCCCCTCTCCCCGTGCGGCGCTCTAGGGGGCGTCAGAGCTGTTGGGGTTTGTGGAGTGTCAGGCTGGCAAATTCAAGGAGGATCAGGAAGGTGCCTGCAGCAGAGGAATCTGGCTGGGATTTCAGTGTCTCCCTGCCATGAATGCCACTTCCTAGGAGTGCCCAGCCTGCCAAAGGAGCTGGGATCAGAACCTGGCCCTGGCAGCTACCCCCTGGGCATATTTCCCCATCTGCAAAGTGGGGATATCTGATGGGATGGACGGTCTGTGAGGCTCTTGTAGGTCCAAGTCCCTGAGTTGAGAGGAGTGGACACCAGCACCAAGGCCCCTGTGGCCAGTGGAGGCTGGGAGCCAAGGCTGACATGTCTCCAGGGCTGGCTGGGCTGCTGCCAGGTGGGGAGCATTTCCCAATACCCACCTTCCCTAGATTGGGAGCTGTGTCATTTCGGAGGCCTGTGGCTTCTGCCCCATGGCCCCCAGTCATTCGGAATCTGGACTCAGTTTGGGCTGTGTTCTCTGCTCTCTCGGGATAGTCTTCTGTGGGGCTGAGGGCAGAGGCGCCTGCATTTGGAGCCAGGCTTCTTCCTTGGGATCACTATCTTCCCGCCTCTGGGTGGTGGGTGGCAGGCAATGAGGAGGAATGAGTGCTCTGAGAACAAGTTTGGGGGATTGAGTTGGGACCAAACACTGACTCCCCCCAAGGCATGGCCTCCTGTGGGCCCTCCCGTCTGTGGGGTGAGAACAGATGCCAGCAGTAAGGGTTCTTCCCTGAACTTGGGTTCCTCACATGAGAGTGTCCCTGCCCTTCCTGCTAGAGAGGGGGAGGCCCCTTAGTCCTCTGCCTTTGCAGTGGTGTGTGGTGTGGGCGTGGCTGGCCAGTGGACTGAGGCTGGGCAAGAGAGCTGGGCAGCACTAAGGAGGGAGAGGCCTGGGCACTTTCTGGGGAAGCGCCACTGTGGTTTGGGGGGTGGGTATAGGGGCCCTGGGGCGGGTCCTCTCCGGGGAGAGGAGAGGTTTCCCCTGGGCGCAGTCCAGTGCAGCCACTGTGTGTCTGGAGTCATGGGGTTGGGAGACAGGCCGCTTCTCAGTGACCGCCCTGCTGCCTCCCTTTCCATCCAGCCCGCCAAGCTCTGTCCCTGTCCCTCCCTGGCAGCTTGGCAGGAATTCGCTGAAGTCACACGGCTGCGATTCCCTCTGAGTGAGGTCTGGTGTAAGAGGTCTGTCACTTGTCATTTTGTCATCGTCCAGCCTTTCCTTAAGCAGCCAGACTCCACCCTCCCTTTTTAGCCGACTACATGAATATTTCTTTTGACTTCAGCACATACTCCTCATTTCACCCCTGCTGTGGCCTCTGAACTAGTCTTCCCGTGGGGATACAGCTGCCCCTCGATGCAGGATGAGGCGGCAGCATGTGGTCTGGGATCTGGGCCTGGCTGAGTTCACCTTGGCTGTGGTGGGGGAGCCTGTTGAGAAGGCCCTGAGCAGCAGGGGTCAAAGCCTGGAATGGGACGCAAGCAGTAGGCACAAGCAGTCGGCGCAGGGCCTGGCTGGCACTGGGCCCCCCACTGACACTGGATAGGTATCATTGGGTATTTAGCTTTGAGGGTGCCCAGAGGGGTAGGAGGAAATCCAGGAACAAGTGGTGTCATGGAAGCCAAGACAGGCTCAAGGAATAGTATCAGTCCAGGATGTGGCATGGGTGGTCAGCATGGGCACTACTGGTGACCCTGGGAGAGTTCTGGGAGGTAGAGGCAGGGCTTAAGTGTGTGACACGGCATGGGGTGACAAGGTGGAGTGCGGGCAGCTCATGAGAGGAGGGGGCCTGTGACAGAACCTTGAGGAGGTGACTGTGCCTGGACATCCTCGGGTTGGGGGTTGGGGATGGTGGATGACTCCCAGGCCCCTATTCTGGCCTACACTTTGTTCAGAGGCCTGGTCATCAGGCTTATGCATAACTGCCCTGGAGTGGCCGGTAGCTCTGTGCCCCTGAGAGGCAGATGTGCCTCCTACTGCTGAGCGTAGAGATGGGACCTGGTCTCTGAAGGGAGCTGACTGGGTGCTTTGGGGCATCTGCCTCCTACCCCCCAGGCTCCAGGCCTTGGATGACCTGGAGGAAGTCCTCCCTGAGGCTGTCCTGTGAGGGCTGGTTGGGGGTTGCTCCCAGGGCTGGATGCTTTCTTGAGCCACCCTGTGCTATGCAGTCAGTGAGGGGGGATGAGGAGGAAGGGCTGCCGGAGTCGGGGCACTAACTGCCCAGGGCACAGAAGTGGGGAGGCCCTGGATGGTGGAGCTGGTTTGGTGCCAGAGCTCCGAGTGGTCCAAGGCCCGAAGGCCACCTCTGCTGCCCTGGAAGTGGCTTGATTAGCACCAGTAGTTGTAGGAACTGTTGGCCATGACTGTGGACAGAGCAGGTGTGCTCCCGGCCTGGGGCAGCCTATACATCCACCTATGTTAGGGAAACAGCTGGTGACCCAGGGCCTTCCTGAAGCCCCCACTCCCTACTTAGGCAGCAGGGCCTCAGGTGCTCTTCAGCTGGATCTTACCCACCTGTCCTGACATGTGCTCTGGGAGGGCCCTGAACAGCCCCGGGGAGGGCTGAGGACTGACCTTTGTAGTACTGAGAATGCAAGAAGTGGTGCCTGCCACACACATTCGGGCCTGCTGGTCGCTGTCCCTTAGACCTGGCCTTGCCTGTGCTCTAGTCCAGCTGGTCAGCACACACAGAAAGGGTGGCACCCATGAGTCTGGGAAACTGAGTGAAACGAAGATAAATGGGTCTCTTTCCTGTGGGAATTCTCAGATCCTTTTCTAAACTAATGCACGTTGTGACTCCAGGTGGGGAAAATGGGCAGTTTGACCAACCCCCCCCCCCCCCCCCCCCGCTTCCTTTTCTGCAGAGCTTATGGGGGGACTAGTGTTTCAGGATGAGTGCATTTGGGAAATACTTCTAGAATGTATTGTGTCCATTGTAGATGTTTTAGGCCCTTCCCTCCTGAGTGGGTAGGAGGGAGGGAGGGGGACATTGAGTGTGACTTTTTCTTTAAGCTGTTGAAAACCAGACTTCCTCTTATTCTGGTATATTTTTTCATAACTCTTAATGGAGCAGGGAGCCTCCTCTGCTGGGCTGGTGGGGGCGGGGAGTGCTGCTGCATGGTCCTCCTGCAGCTGTGATGGGTAGCAGCCATCACATGGGCTCGTGACTTCCTGAGAAGGGGCTGCAGCAGTAGCAGCAGCTCTGGCATTTTGAGGAGGAAGCCCTGTTTTGGCATTTCACTTTGATACTTCTTTACTCTTTTATTAAGCTGAACCTCCCTCCTCCTTCATGCAAAAGGTGGCAAAATAAGGAGCTGAATGTTGTGGGCATAGGGATCCTCAGCAATATTTGCTGACGATGGGGCTAGAAGTGGATAGACAGTGGCTTCAGAAAGACCAAGGAAGCTGGGATGGCCATGCAGCGGCATGGGAGATCGGAATGGGTGCAAAGGTATCAAAGCAGTGGGAGGAGTGTCAGGCCCTCCCCGCCCGCAGTTGCCCTCAGCTCACAGCAAGGTGGTCAGGGCTGCAGGCACCCCGGCCTCCAAGGAGCAGCTGGTCCCTGTTGGCTTTTTCTGGCTCCCAGGTCTGTCTGGTGGGAGTGAAACATTTCTCATTTGGGCTGAGCTGGCTATTGTAGTTCTCATTTTATTTTTTTTATAAATATATTTTATTGATTTTCCACAGAGAGGAAGGGAGAGAGATAGTTAGAAACATCGATGAGAGAGAAACATCAACCAGCTGCCTCCTGCACATCCCCTAGTGGGTTCGTGCCCGAAACCCAGGTACATGCCCTTGACCGGAATCGAACCTGGGACCTTTCAGTCCGCAGGCCGATGCTCTATCCATTGAGCCAAACCGGTTTCGGCGTAGTTCTCATTTTAATTTCAACTGTGTCCAGAACTTTCCAGAAGTAGCCTAAGGACTAAAGGTGGAGCTGAACACACAGCTCTTGCTTCCCACTTTGGGGGCCTTTGAAAAGGACCCTTCAATCTGGGTGGTGAGTCCAGGTCTCTGACCTATACTCACTGGCACCTGATCTCGGTGATGTCCCCAGGTGTCTTCGGTATTATAGATTGTGCACTGAAAGGTAAATGTGACTTTTTTCCCTGAAGCTTTGAGATGAAACTTCTCAAGTGACCTTTCAGACATTGTATGAACATGGCTGATTTCAGTCTTTCACTAAAAATCTGCTGCCTGTCCTCCCGGCAAAAATAGAAAAATCAGACAAAATTTTGAACTCTATCCTTATTTGTGGCATTTCCCTCTAGGGCAGCGGTTCTCAACCTGGGGGTCGAATGACCCTTTCACAGGGGTCACCTGAGACGGTCGGAAAACACAGATATAATTACATATTGTTTTTGTGATTAATCACTATGCTTTAATTATGTTCAATTTGTAACAATGAAATTGAGGGTCACAACATGAACTGTATTAAAGGGTCGCGGCATTTGGAAGGTTGAGAACCACTGCTCTAGGGACTAGAAAACTTTTCAATACTGGGAAAAAGTACTCAAATGATTGGGTTTTCTTGGTCTTGTGTTTTCAGAGATGTAGGAAATTTTATAGAAACTAGCATTTGTTTCTTGTTCTTCTGTAAAAGGAAATATGGCAGATTACATGGCAACTGAACGTTGCCTTTATAATTAAGTGATGATAGCTTTCAAGTAATTTCCCCTTTCTTCACATGGTCTGGGTAGTGGTCGACAGCAGCAGTTTGCCTTCCCTCCGAACATGGCAGACGCGTTGGCGGATCTCCAGGCCGATATGGCTGGTTGCTGAAGGCAGGTGAAGACTGCCTTTGCAGACCCTGTCACTGACACGCCAAAGGTCTGGTGGAACATCGGGCCGAGGGCCCTAACCCGAGCCCCCTTCCTCCCTTCTCTCTCCCCACAGAGTCGGGGTTCTGGAGGACTCCTTCACCTTCCTGGGCATCTTATTGGCCATCGTCTTTTTCCCCTTTGGGTTCATCTGCTGTTTTGCCTTGAGGAAGCGAAGATGTCCCAACTGTGGAGCAAACTTTACCTAAAGGGAACAGCACACCTGGCTTTCCTTCATCCAGCTGTCTTTTTCTAATGTATATGTCGTGTACAGTAGCTTTATTTGATTAAGCTTCAGGACTGTTTTGTAAGGGAGGTGGGATAGATTTGGCATGTGCGAGCTGGGTTCAGGGCACAGTCACGGAGTGTGGACACGCGGCAACACTGCTCCCAGGGTTAACGACAATTCAGAAAAGCACTTTTATTTTTTGCAGTCTTCAATTTGAGAAGGTGAGAAATTGTTTTAAATAAATAAGATTCATACCATTGTTTACCTGGTTCTTATTCAGTGTTTGCTTTTGTTTGGAAAACTTCAAACATGAAATAGAGACTAAAATTACGTACCCACCACCCAGCTTCAACACTGTTCAATCCTGTTATTTTTCTTGATAGGCATTTATAGCTCAAGAAAGTGTTCTTGTTTTCACGTTTTTATTTTATAATGAAACAGAATACCTTGACATTTCCAGAGCATGCCCCTCAGTGCCAAGGACAAGGCAAGCCCTCCCATCCTGTGTGAGGCAGGTGACACTGTCGTTCACTCTGTGAAGGTGGATACGGGCTGGGTGAGTCCAGCAGGCCTGTGAATTGCACCTGGTAACCCCAGGCCTATGTATTGCTGAAACAAAGCCAGAGGACCGCAGAGTGGAGGCTGATGCCCCCACTCCTTCTCACATCTCTAGAAACAATGGGCTTCTGCGGACCCTACTCTTACCTAATTGGTGAGAGGAGAGTGGGCCACTTCACTGACTGGTTTCTTGGCTGGCGCGTCTTCTTTCAGGACAGGTGCTGCTTGACACCTGCACTTCCCCTGACTCAGTCCTGGGGAGCCCTCACGTTCCCGTGTCATTAGCTCCCCACTGGCTGATCAAGGAGGAGGAGGAGGATAGGACTATGAACCTGAAGTGTCACGCACTCACACTGGTTTTACCTGCAGTTGACTTTGGCCAATTTCAAGCTTATAGAAAACGATAATATTTATGGGAAGATCAAAGGAGCTGTATGAGCAACAAGGCCTCCTTCCCTGCCCACACAGTGAATGGCCTGGGTGTGACATTTAACCACGGTTCTCCACTCCTCCAACATAGGGCCTAATCCCTGACAGCCAGCGACGAACTCCCTCCTGGAACAGCCCAGATTCCTAGTGCATGACAGTGGGTCTCGGCTAGAGGGCAGCTCCTCCCAGCCCCCACTCCCAGAGGTCCTCCTGGCTCTGAGCACTGTTTGTGCGTCAGTACCTGATGGGAAAGTGTCAGAGGAAATTAGTGACAGAAGCGCTTTGGTCAACTAGCTTATTAGCAAGAGTCCTCTGGCCAGGCCCACATGCAGCCTGGCCTGGTAGGTTTTCATTGGTGCCTCAGAGCCCAAATCAAGAAGTTCTGGGGCATTCAAGTACTAAGTACCATGGCTGTGATGGGGACAGGCAAAATACCTCAGCACTCTACAGCTGGGCCTAATCACGGGAAGGTTGGGGTTTCTCCATCTTGGGTAGCTCTGCATTTGACTAAACAAAAATTTAAAAATTTTAAGTTAAAAGTTAAAATTTATATAATATTTTCATAATTTATATTGCTTAAGATTCTCCTTTGAGTAAACATTACAGTGCTACGTAAGAGCAGGTACTTTATAAAATACAAATGTGGTCTCCGCTGCATGCAGGTACAGAAAGCCAGTCCTGAAAGCACAGACTATCCCTTATTCTGGCTATTTCAAAAATAATCATAGAATATTTAAAAAATGATACAGTAAGGATTAGAACCAAATTTACTGCTCTTTGAACAAAATAGGAAGAAAATACTTTCAGTGATTGAATTGGTCACTCAACTAATTTATCTTCTTTAAGACAGAAATGTGCAAACCCAACTGTGAAATTGAGAAAATGCATTGATTTGCTAAAGTAGAATACGTTTAAAATCAGGCACCCTCCGGTGAAGCATCATGACAGTACAGGATGCACCACACCTATGACTTTGTACATGTGAGAACAGAAGAAGATCCAGGAGAAGTCTTTGGCCATCTTTTCATCGAATGATTGGTGCTGACCGATCGTTTGTCACTGTTGGTCGGAGTTTCACAGTAGCGAAGGGGTTTTCTCCACTGTGGGGGAAAGAAAAAACGTGCGGAAATACCTTAAGATGGGAATTTTATTTTTTTGGTTAATGCTCACCTGATGATCCCCCCTCCCCCCACCATTGATTTTTAGAGAGAGTGGGAGTGAAATATCGATATGAGACACATTGATTAGTTGCCTCTGCACACCCCCCCGAACAGGCCAGGATTGAGCCTGCAACCCAGGTATGTGCCCTTAACCAGAAATTGAACCCGAGACCCTTCGGTGCATCGGCCGATGCTGTAAACACTCGGCAACACCGGGCAGGGAACATGGTTTTAAATGAACTAAATACAAACGGTTGCTCTGCTCTGTAGAGTTATATGCCAGATGGAAATCCCGGGGAGCGTTTTTCTGATATGAAAAGTTTACTGTGGCAGCTCCCCGGTCCACCTCTTCCAGAACTACCTGAAGTTACAGGAGAGCCCAGCGCTCTGCAGTCCTCTGGAAGGGGGTCGGGTGGGACAGCCACCTAAGACTAGGCCTGGATTACTGTGTTGCCAAGGACAGCAGGTCATCAGGAGACCACTCTTCTGCATCTGGGCAGATGCGTCCCAGGACTGTGATGAGAGCAAGGTGGCTGCATTCTCTTGACCCCACAGGCGTGAGGCTGTTTTCAGGATCGGGCCTCCTGGGCTGTGCACAGGGCAAGGCCCTCTCCAGGACACTACAGGCCACTCGCCAACAGGGAGGGCAGCGTGCCGCTCAAAAGGGCTTTGGGAGTTCACGTACCTGAGGAAAGGAAGTTTGGCAGTCCCGTTTGTGTTATTCTGTGGGAAGATAGAGAAGTTTATGGAAGGCTCATGAAATGAGACATTTTAAATAAGACCTAAAGGTAAAGGCATCTAAAACACAAGGGACTGTTGAAAGCTACGAATGTTTAAAGGTGCCCCGGAGTCTCAATTCATTTGGGACTGTCTAGCTGTGTAAATTCACTTCAAAGAATAACAGGAAGAACAGAACATTTTAAAAGATAGTGAGGGACCTGCACTGTGTTGGGCCATCTCACACTCAGGGAGAATAGGCCTGTGGCTCCTTGCCCACAGCCTGTTTCAGGTGCAAAAGTTGGGAGTGCAGGTGGCTTTTTGGGAGCCCAGTCCTGAATGAAGCCATGGGAAAACTGCATGAAAATGAAATGGGTTTTGGTGCCCACAGACTGGTGCCCAGTGCTCCCCAGAGATCTTGCAGGAAGTTGCACAAAGGGAAGAGAAGGACGTGTAAACACTGTCTTTGTCTTCAGAGCCTGCAGGTCCCAGGGACTTAGGGTCTCCCAGTGGGGCCAGGGGCCTCCTTTCCTTCCTTCCCTAAAGCTTACAGGCTAAGAATCCGCTTTGAACCTGCTCCGCCTGCTCTAGGAAAGCACTGCTCTGAGCACCTGTTACTCAGATGCTGCCCAGGAGAGGGCAGTGTGCCATTGTCTGACAGGGGCTGACAGACCAGACCTGACTAAAAGCTCCCAGGCTCCCCGTGGTCAGGGCACAGGCCTCTGAACACTGACTACAGCTCCTCGCACGTCATGTCCCGCTGCCCGCCAGCTGGGGTTTGAAGGTCATGCCTTGCCCAAGCCCACACCAGGGCTCCTTGGGAGGCCTCTACCGGGTTTTGGACCTACTGACTCTCAAGGCAGAGGTTAGGGACACGGGTTCAGACCTGCGCCTGCTGTCTCTGGGCCTCTGAGGACCCACATCTTAACCTTGAACCTCGGGACCAGCCAGCTCATCCTGATGGTGGCCCCAGCACCAGGAGGCAGAGTCCTGGCTCTCTTCTCACTGAAGCACATCCTAGCAGGGCTTACATGGGTTCTTCCCACAGGGCACGCAGGCCCCAGAGCAAGCACTCCTGGTGCCGTGCTCACATTCTGTGATTTAGAGATAAAAATACACCAGGACGCATGTCGCGCGAGTGCTCCAACACTGCCAAACAGGAAGCCCAGAACGGAGGTACAGGGTCCCACGTGAAAAGGTCCCTGAGGTCAGGAGGAAGGGCAGCCGAGTCCTCTTGGCCTGGGAAGTGCACTTCCTGCTAAACCAGAATCCCCAGGCTTGGCCTCCAGGTGACACACTGGAAACCACAGCCTCCTGCCTTTCCTCAGGGTGGGACTGGGTCATTCTTCCTTGGGTATCACGCCTGAGGGTTCTGCCCTGAACCGGAAATACCCCACCTGGGAGCAGCCCAAGGGTCCTCAAGGCAAACCCTCAAGGCTTGTTCAGAGGGCCTCTGCCCCCGGGAGCTTCGGACGAGTTTAGCGCCTTGTGTCACCTGGTGCCACAACATCAGAGAGGAAGAGAAGTAGCACAGTCCGTCCTGGGAAGAAAGGCGACAACTTGTGCTAAGGAGGAGGGCACGATGACCTAAGACAACAGCTGGAAACCATCGAGCGCCGGGTCATGGTCTGGTTCTGGTGCTGCCTACATCTGCTGCTTTGTGAAAAGTCACTGTGCACTTTTCTTCATGTGGTATTCCTCAATGTCTGCCATAAAAATAGGACCGTTTCAAAGGTTTCCCCTTTAACATCTACCAAGTCTACACTGTCCCAGACCTGCCCCTCTCCCCTTCCCCCTGCACCTCCAGTGGAAAGGCACCTCCAGGCCGGCCATGGCACTGCCCTCACTCCTCCAGTGAGGAGAGCTCACGCTAGATCCCGAGGGTCTGCAGAACCTCCCCACCTCACCTGAGCACAACCCATCCCTCTTACTGGTTGACGCTGGAGCCCCGGAGGGGTGTCTGTCCTGCCTGCTGCCCCACAACGCCCATCTGAGCGTGTCCCTCCACTGGCTCGCTGAGGCCGAGCAGTGGGGTTTGGGGTCTCCTGGCCTCTGCACCCTCCCGCCCCTGTGTCACCAGGCAAATGTGCCTTGTCCTGAGCAACACCGAGGTCTCTGCAGGCCTCTCCTGGTGCCCCTGCCCTGGAACTGAGCGGTCCTGCATGGCGCCTGCAAGCCTAGGTGCTGCCTCCTTGTTCCTGTCCCCTCAGGACATGCATAGTGCAGACACACGGCGTGAGCTCAGACCAGCTCTGTGGACCTAAACCGTTCGAGGTCCCACAGTCAATGGGCAGAACTGCTCCTGTGCAGGGCGTGTCCTCTGAGGCGGTGGTGTGCGTCCTGTCTCATGCTTCCCCTCGGACTTCCAAAGCAAGACTCTGTCCCTCGGGCTGGGCCGGCTCCCCTGGCCTTGTAGGCACAGCCTGTGGCGTGTTCTGTGTCCCTTCTTGGCAACCGGCATGGTGCTGGTCCAGAGTGCACTCGACAAATTACCAAGGCACGAAACCAGATGCCGACAGGTCAGGCATGTCATGAGGGGGTGGAGTGGCTGTCCAGGGGACACAAGGACAGGCAAGGCCTTGTGACTGCACAGCAAGACAACCCCCACCAGCTGACCATGGCCAAGCAGGAATCGGCAGAGTGGGGTACATCCTGATTTCCCAAACCCAAGTCCACCTGGAGTGGGCACCTGCTGACTCACATGGCATCCATCCCACCTAGATTTCTGCTGGAAAGTCCCTAACAGGCCCACCTGCCTTGAAGGTCGGGACCAGTTGGTCCGAGCTTACAAGTGATCTTGGTCAGCTCAGGCCACCAGCACAGCCCGTTTCCCAGATGGAAGGCAGAACTCCGGGCAAGGGATCTGTGGCCCCCCAAGCAGGGTGAGGCAGTGAAAGGCAGGGCTGGTGGTGAGAGACACCCTGAGGGCATCTTTGGAGCCTGCCCTCTCTGTCCTGCTCCCTGGCAACAGCCTCCCTTCATCTCTGAGGCCAGCGGGAGGTGAGCCGTCACCTGCCACACCTGACCCTGTGCTAAATGTTACAGCACATGCCAGTCCTCGGCTGTGGCTGGACTTACTTCCCAGTTCACAACCTCCAACCTAGTTCAACCCCCCTATTCCTAAACTGGGGACCCGGAAGCCTGGCCAGGGGAAAAGGCAACTACCTGGAGTCACAGGCTCTTTCTGAAACCAAGGTGCCCACTTCGTGGAGTGGAAGGTAGCAAACAAGGCGGCTGGCAGGGCCTGCACAGGCCCTTTTGGGTCAGCAAACGTGCGCTTTGAAGCGAAGGCAGGCCTAGTTGTTCAACAGCCTTTTAGAGTCTCGTTATCTGATTATTTAAACGGCTGCCACTACAGTAGGGAACACACACTTGCTTCAGCCCCACAGCCACGCCCTTGCCCCTCAGCTCACAGGGCAGCTGTCTAGGTTCGTGGTGCAGGAACGTCCCACCCACGGTATCGGGTGTGCAGTGGACTTAGCCTACATGTCCTGGTGTTTAAACAAAACTCGACAGTAACTGACAGTAATGACGGCTGCCTCTATAGAAACTACGTAGAGCAATGCTGTGCCTGCTCCCATGGACCCAGCCTTTGGCTGACAGAGAACATACTTTCCCCATCAGCAGCAGTGGGTACGCATCTGGTTTAGGAAAGATAACAACCAGTCCAGTTGGGCGCAAGAAGTTTTCATACAAAAGTCCAGGACCGTGTCCCCGCCGCCCTCAGGGCCCGGGCAGGGGCCAGCCATGGTATGCACTTCCCGAGCACCATGCTCTTAGGTTTTTAACTGGAACACGGTCTGTTCTGTGCGACCTGTGCCTGACTGCCCAGCATAGTGGCCACGAGCCATATATGACCAGATTAAAAGTGAACAAATTTAAAGTAGGAAATCCCATTCCTTAGCTGCACCGCCCATTCTCCGGGGCTCCACTGCCCCGGGCCCTGTGGCTACTCTTCTGGGCAGTGCAGTTCTGGAATATTTGTCTGCTCTGTAAGTCTCCAGTTTAATGTACTGAAGAAGCACTTCGCGTCTTTTCTGCTCGGACACACGAAGATTGGAGCCTGTGCTTCCTGCTGTTGCCAAGAGGCTGTTAAAGCCAGATAGTCCCACCTCTCCGAGGTCACAAGGTCACGGTGGAGCAGAACTGGTTCTCTGCCCGCCCCCAGCTGAGTTCCTGGCACTGCCGCCCCGGGGGGAGGCGGTCTAACTGGCTGAAGGGTATGGCAGACGCAACGTGAGGGTGTGTGTTGGAGACAGAGTTTCGTTTGTACTCTTCTGCAGTTTGCACAGGATCATCGAGTATCACTTCAGAGACGCTAGTGACAGACACATGAGCCAGTCCTTTAACTTCGCTGTGCACCTGTGACACGCCCTCTGCTCGCTTCTGGACCATTGCCCTCTCCATTCCAAGGTCAGACGCACTCGGTCTGACATTAGGAACAGTGACCGTCCTGGAATCACGGCCAGCAGTGCCTCAAGCCCTCCAGCTTTGGCTGACTTTCTCTTTTCTTGTGACTGCTGTTAAATGGAGTTTCCAACACCCCCCAGATCAGAAAAATAATACAGCAGCTTGTCAGCACCTCATCAACAGTACATGGTACTTGTCTCACCAACAGTGTTCTGATGGGAGACAATGGTCAGAACTGCGATTCCCAATCTGCTCTGGGACCTCAGAAAGCCGCTCTCACCTTTCTGGGCCTTAACAAGGCCCCACAATGCCTCCTGGGACGTTAGAAAGTGGCCAATGCCCAGGAGGCACTGAGGGCAGGAGGGGTATGGAGGCGCCATCCACAGGCCAGCACCGGGGCAACATTTGGGTCCCAGGCCAGCAACTCGCCGGGGCCAGGGCAGTGCTAGGATCCACTGTGTATGGACGCTGGGGAGAAACATCTACTCTATCTTAACATACTTACCTATGTCCATCTCACAGGAAATAGAATGAAACGTTAACAGTAGTTATCTGATTATAGATAACTAAAATTTTCTTTTCAATACTTAGTGTAT